CCCCCCCCGGATTGTGAGCCCTGCGGGCTGGAACTGAAAGGTAAGGCCAACAATTTTGGCCTGCAGAGACGTTCTGGAGGCGGGGAGGTGAAAAACAGGGTGCACAGAGACTCCAGGAGGCCAAATAAATGGGCAAAGCCGGCCTGTTATTGGCCAAAGAATGAGCCATTTTAACCTGCTTTGGGCCTGCAGAATGCTTTTGGAAATGGGGTGTATGTGAGGTGAAAAATCGGGCCCCAAGAGGCAAAAAAACTGGCAAAATGGTCTATTTTTCACCTTCTCCACCTGCAAAAGATAGATAAGGAGAGAGAGACAGACAGACAGACAGAAGGAGAAGGAGAGAAAGAAAGAGAGAGAGAGAGAGAGACAGATTTCTCAAGCTCCTTGGGGCAGAGGAGAATTGCTGCAAAACTGAGTTTCCTGAAGAGGAGCACTAGACTCCTAAACAACTGGAAAAAATGATCTGGTAAAAAGAAAAGGCAACCAAAAGAGCAACATGTAAACAAAAGCAAATAAAGCACACACACACACGGCGCAAAACAAATTAAAGTTTAATTTGTTTGCATTGTTCAATGGAATGTTAAATTGGCCACCCCCAACCAGTCACATGACCACCTAGCCACCCCCGCACCCAGCTGGTCGGCCACCCCCAATAGTCTGAGGGACCGTGAATTGGCCCCGTTTAAAAAGTTTGAGGACCACTGCTATAAGGGATCTTTGATGCTCTCTGAATTTGGTTGGTTCCTTGCAGACGTTTCATTAGCCAATCTAGGTAACGTCATCCGTGCATAAGGTCTATGGAGACTCCCAGTCATCCAGATCATGGTCATCCGAAAGTTGGCTTTTTTTCAGTAGTGAAATGTCTTCAAGGAAACCACCAAGCTCAGAGAGCACCAAGGACCCCCTCATTTCAACCCTGAGCTACAAATATTCTCTTCTGCCCTTACAATAAATCTGTACAGGTAGTCCTTGATTTACAACAGCTCCTTTAAGTGATCAATAAAGGAGAATATATGAAACTCTGGGTTGAAATGAGGGGGTCCTTGGTGCTCTCTGACCTTGCTTGTTTTTTTTGAAGAGCACTAACGATGTTATCTAGTCAACCTAATGACATTAACATCTGCAAGAAAACAAGTAAACTCAGAAAGTACCAAGGATCCTTTCAGTGTTACCACTCAAAGTTACCACGGCACACTTACAAACATTTGCAGCATTTCCACGGTCACTTGATCAAAATTAAAATGTTTGGCCGCCACCGACTCATATTTATGACGGTGGCAGTGTCCCAGGGTCACGGAATCCCCTTTTGCAACCATCTGCCAAGAAAAAGTCAATGAAGCCAGATTGCCTGAACGAGAAAGATCGCAAAATCTTTTGCAAAACTCAGTTGACAAATGTCTCCCTTTAGCAACCAAATTTTTGTTGGCCTTTGTGGCCATAACCGAACTTTTGTTGCTCCATTGCAGCTGTAAGTCGAGGACTACCTGCATTACAATGGTTCCCGATTATAGTATTAGTATTAGTATAGCAGGGTAATGTAATGTAATATATATTATATTAATTATAATCNATATGCTGACTCTCTGTAAACCGCTTAGAGAGGCCTGAAAGGCCTATGAAGCGGTATATAAGTCTACTGCTATTGCTATATTGCTATTGCCTCAATTGTCTGTCATTTGCCTAGGGCAGGGATCTCTTCAAGGGCCAGATCAGCATTGTAGCTTTCCTCCGTGGGCCAGCCGTGGGGGGAGATGGGACGGACGCCTCCTGCAGCACCCTGCCAGCCAAAATGAGGCACGGAGAGGAGGGATATTTTGGAGGTAGGGCTTATATTAGGCACACATGTAAAACAGGCTAAGGCTTATTTCCAGGATAGGTCTCATTTTTAGGGGGGAACGGGCTATTTCAAGCCTACAAAAAAATACGAGGGAGCTCACTTGAAGTCTTCTAAATGCAATTTATCTGCTTCGCCATGGAGCTGCTAGGCTTGTTAATCTGCAATAATCAAAATAAGCTGCGCCAAAAGCAATCACTCTACTTAATTAAAGTTCCGCATAAAGTATAGGGTAGACTTATTCACCCCTGTAATTTTGTTTTCATGTGAATATGAAGTATGATAGGTGATGAATATGTCACGCCATTTCTGCAAAATAATTGTACCTACCGAATCCTGTCAGAAGCAATGATATATATTATTTAAAAATAATAATAATAATAAAAGTAGCAGGCCACACAGGAAGGATGTACGTTTGATAAGAAACCATCACCTTGATAAAGCTGGATGAATTTGGGGTAAAGGGCCGACGGGATCACCCGATCTGGCAGCTCCCGCAGAAATAACTTCAGCAAACTGGCGGCTGAGCTTACGTCAGCCTCTGCGGCGAGATCTACTTGATCTCCACCCTCGTACTTTGTGCGCAGCTGTTCCACTGTTTTCAGGTTACCATTCACCCTGAAAAGACCTTCCTGCTCGAGACCTGTAATTACATACATAAAATGAGATAAGACCAGTGGCAGATTTCCTGGCCTGCACTTATATATACCGTGTTTCCCTGAAAATAAGACAGGTTCTGGGGAGGGCTTATTTTGGGGAAAGTGCTTATTTTAGCGCATGCACTCAAAAGCCCAATTGGGCTTATTATCTGGGGAGGTCTTATTTTCGGGGGTGTGTGTCTGTGTGTGTGTGTGTCTCAAGGAAACTTGAGATCCAGGATGCACATCCAGCAGCAGGTTGGAACGAGCACTCAAGCAGGGGGTGGGGAACGATGGCCACTTTATGACTTGTGAAGTTCACATAAAGTCATAAAGGAGCCATCATTCCCCACCCCTGCACTAAAAGATTGGCCAATGAGGACGCACAACTGCATCTTTTATAGCCCCATTGGTGAAAAACTGCACACAGGACAATTAGCATAGTGAGAATGGAATGCTACCCTGTTTCCCCAAATATTACTGTAACACGCTCTACATGGGGCTGCCCTTGAAGAGTGTTCGAAGACTTCAGTTAGTCCAGAACGCAGCCGTGCGATCGATTGTGGGTGCACCCAGGTACACCCACGTCACACCTATCCTCTGCGAGCTGAACTGGCTACCCATTAGTCT